CTATTTTGTTTTCCCAGTAGATGCGTTGAGATTCTAGCTGACTAGTCAGGAGGTATGAATACTGTCAAGAAAAGGTTTACAAAATCTATTAAATCATTTTCATAAAAGGGTTCACACAGAACATGAAACATGTTGGAGGTGCACTGCTGGATAAATTTGAACAGTTTTTTCTGTGAAAATCTTAAGTACTGTACTAAAAAAGCAACTATCCGTTTAATAAGTTTAAACACCATTTTGATTTACATTTCTATTTCGGGATATTTCCCTTGCAGAGAAATGTTGGCAAGTAGCCATTATTATTTTAGATTCAAGGTTGCAAGTCGCAGAATAAGCTGGAATTTGACTAGCTAACACAAAGCACCTCTTATTACTGAAAAAAGGCTCATTTGTACAATGCCTTGCATGAACAGTGGACATCACAAAAGTGTCTTCAGTGCCAGTGAAATACTTTTAAAGTCATTACTGTAATGAAGGAAATGCCACAATCAATTTGTACACAGGAAGCTCACACAAACAGCAACGTAATAATAAACAAATAACATATTTTAGCGATTGAGGCTGCAGACTTGCTCACCGAGCCGGTGGGTTTGGTTGCAAATGTTTTGTCACCCTGCTAGATAACATTGTCAGTGCGCCTCAGGTGAAACGTTGGTGTTCCGTCCCACTTGTTATTTATATGCCTCAGCTTGCTAGGGTGGTTGGTATTACTTCTGGTTTTGTTCTTCAGTGATTTGTACATCTGTTTAGTTGAGTGTATTTGTTAACAGAGTTCCGGTCGGAATGCCAGGCCTCTAGGAATTCCCTGGAACGTCTCTGTTTGGCTTGTGCTATTATGAATGTGTTGTCCCAGTCAAATTCGTGTCCTTCTTCATCTGTGTATATTGACAACAGTGAGAATTGGTTGTGTCTCTTGGTGGCTAGTTGGTGTTCGTGTATCCTTATTGCCAGTTTTCTTCCAGTTTGGCCTATGTAATGTTTCCCACAGTCATTGCACAATATTTTGTATATTACATGAGTTTTCTTGGTTGTGGGTATGGAATACTTTACGTTCGTCAGTAACTGTCGCAGGGTGGTTGTTGGTTTGTAGGCTACCCTGAAACCTAGAGGTCTGAGTAGTCTTGTGGTCATCTCTGATATGTCCCTGATGTATGGTAGGGTGACTAGTGTGTCTGGTCGTGTTGTGTCAACTGTTGCGGAGGTAAAGGTGGGTTGTGCTTTTTGGGTATCCATTCCTTTTAAAAACTCCGTATAAGGTCACCTGTTCTGCTTTGCGCAATTCCGGGTTGCTGCAGTGTGTTGTGGCCCATTTGAATAGTGTCCTGTTTATGGGTGTTGGGATGGTTGCTGGTGTAATTAAATATCTGGTCTGTTTATATTGTCTTTCTGCGTACGCTAATCTGGAGTTCCCCGTTGTTCTTGCTTTCCACCATTACATCCAGGAAGGGTAGTCAGTTGTTGTTGTCTTCTTCTTTTGTGACTTTTATTCCGGTGAGGATGTTGTTTATGTGTCAGTGAGTTTCTTCTAGTCTTGTGCGTTTGATAATCACAAAGGTGTCATCTACCTAGCGGACCCAGAGTTTGAGTTGGATAGTGGGGAGCACTATCCATTCTTATCTTTGCATTACTGCTTCTGCTATCAGTCCTGATATTGGGGATCCCATTGATGTTCTGTTGATTTGTTTAAATATATGGCTGTTGAAGGTAAAGTGAGGCACAGATCCAGCAGTTTCAGGGTGCTGTCCTTGTTGATGATTTGGGTGTCATGGAGTGTCTACCTTCCAGATTTGTCCAGCGGTGTGACAACTGTCTCTTTGCCTAGGTAGATGTTAATGGATGTAAATAATGCTGTTACGTCGAAGGATACCATTATCTCATCCTCTTCTATTCTAGTGTCCTTGATAATGTTGAGGAATTCTTGGGACGAATGGATAGAATGGGTAGTGTTGCCAACTAAGTATTTCAGTTTCCGTTGTAATTGTTTGGCTAGTCTATATGTTGGTATGCCTGGTAGTGACACAATGGTTCTGAGGGGGACCCCTGGCTTGTGTACCTTAGGGAGTTCATAGAAGCAGTATTGGATCCCTCTGGCTTTATTTTTTGGTAGTCGGTCTTGCTGATGTCGCCTGAGCTGTGTAATTTCTTCAGGGTTGTTGGGATCCAGTTCCCTAATTGTGGTGTTGAGTCTATCACCATCTGTTGGTAGGTGTCAGTATCTGCTAGTAGTGCATTGGCTTTCTCAATGTATTGAGCTCTGTTAAGGATTACCCGTCATGCGTCCTTTGTCCACCGGTAGGATTACAATGTTTCTGTCTATCTTGAGTCTTTCCAGGGCTTTCTTGTGTTGAAGGTGTTCCACTTACCCTTTTTGCTCAGTATTGGGACTATCGTCTGTCTGATGGTCTGTTGTATTTCTTCTGTGACTCCGCTGCTCTTCAGTGTCGATTCCAGCGCAGCCAGGAAGTCTTTTTTTTAGCGTCTCTGTAGTTATAGTTTATTCCGCATACTGGGACAGTGTTCTCAGTGTCTGTAAGTGGTCAGTCTGAGATGTTCTTGATCCATGTTTCTGTTGTCCATGTCGTTGTTGTGAGTGAGTTTGGATAGTTTGTCTTGTAGGACTATTCTTTTCTTTTTTCTGGCCCTCTGTTGTTGTATGGTGATGGCTTGTTCCACTGTGGTTGTCCATTCTTGGTTGGTTGGGTTGAAGTACAAAGTTTTTTGGCACGCAATTTCCCGCTCGTATTTATGGGGGTGGTTGTGGGCATCATTGATTAAAATCCTTATCATTCTGCGGCCGTTCTGTGCAGCTGTTCTCCATGCCTGTGAATTGTTGATAGGTGGTTTACATATTTCAGGCTTTGTGGTCGTACCTGTTTTCTGAGGCATTCATGCGGGAAGTATAGTTGTTTGCGGGTCGCCATCAAACGGATGGCATTTGTCTCCCAACTGCGGGCCAGTTTGAGGGTGTTTTAAAGTTTTTGAGAAGATTTGTAGCTCGGGTTGTGAATGAGGTTGCAGACTTGCTCGCCGAGGTGGTGTGTTTGGCTGCAGACGTTTCGTCACCCTGCTAGGTAACATCATCAGTGCGCCTCTGGTGAAGCGTTGGTGTTCTGTCCCACTTGTTATTTACATGCCTTGGTTTGCTGGGGTGATTTTGATTGTGAGATAAACATAGCATTTCCAATAATGCAGTACTTCCTTTGTATTGTTCTGGCGTGCAGACCTCGATTTTTGTGCTCCTGGAGTGGACTTCAACCCAAATGTTCTTACTAAGGGTTGGGATGTTAGCAGTAGAAAACAGGAGCACAGATATTAATCTCTTCAGTCTCTGGTACAGCACATTGGAATTCCAATTTGTTACATTAAACTCCAGCCCACAAGAATTTGCTTTTTGAATCATAATTTTACTTTATGACAAAAACTTATGCAATTTATTGCTTTTCCCTCATGTACTCTAGCATACATGTACAAGACATAACTGTTTCCAAATTCACTATTAGATACAATATTTAGAATCAGTTCTCATGATGAATCAATAAATGCATGAAACTAAATTGTACAAACTGGTAAACTGCCAAATTTAATCAATGACCTGAACAGAAACAACCAATATCAAAAATTGTACTTTTGTGTGCTGAAGTTGGCCTCAATGACTGAGGAGATTTAGGAAATGTCACAAATCCTGCCTCTAACACTATTTATTAACCTTTGTATCTATTGATGAAAATAAGCCCAAGATTTGGCTCAAATGGGAGGGCCTCTGCTTTCCTCCAATACTAATTGAGCATACAATAGCTAAGGCTCTTGCATGAACATTATTAAAGCAAGGTTCCAACTGCTGCTTTGCTATCTCATAGTGGAACAAAAGATGCCCATTTCAGAAGAAATGGGATTAACAGTAGGAAACGAGAAAAACTCATTTGCCAAGATATGTTTTAATTCAGTTTGAAACAGCACTCAGACACAATTTATTGACAGAGAATAAATTAACCAAATAAACTCTCAAATGAACTGTTAAAATTGCACTACATTGCATTTATTTACAAGTTTGCTCTTCCTGCATTGAAGGCAAACTCGGTGGCAGCAACCTTTCCCAGATGATGAAACTTCATCTGAAAATCCAGACAGTTACCATCAGACTACTAAATCATGAGCAGTGTTACATCATTGAAGCACTGAACCTAGTTCCATCCATAAGTTCACACATGGGTACACTTCCAGGAGAAACTGTTAGACAGTGGTTGGAATATGAAGTTTGACTGACTTTAACTCTTGTTTCAGAGACAAACCAAGGATTGAATCTGGAAAATTTTTAGAAGAAATCAATGCAACTTGAAAGAATGTATTCATTCTCACAATCAGTGAGAGATCCTCAATAACAGATGATAGATACACTTTGATAAAGCAAAAAAAGTCTTTTACTGTGTAAGTTTCATACTTTCTACCAAGCCACACCAGGGCAACTGCTACAATATTGAGTAAATTATTAGCTGAGAGTTCCAGGCTGTAATTCAAGTTTTAGATTCAGAGTAGATATTCCCACGTTATCTAGGACATTACCCTCTTCCCCCTCCAAATGCTCACGGCCTTATTACTCAGTCGTTGGTATCTGGTGCTCCAGCTCACTCACTCAGTAAGTTCATACCCAAAGCAGGATTTGAAAAACATCTTGTATTTAAAATACATCTGTATAGTCCATCATTTACCGACAGAACTGGTGAAGATCATATTTTTAAAATTCATTCATGTGATGAGGCATGAGGGTGGTTAAGAGTCAACCACATTGCTGTCACAGGTAGGTAAAGATGGTAGTTTCCTTGTCTAAAGGACGTGAGTGAACAAGATGGGTTTTCTGACAATTGACAATGGTCATCATTAGACTCTTAATTCCAGAAATTTATTGAATTCAAATTCCACCATCTGCCATGGTGGGATTCAAATCCAGGTTCCAGAACGTTATCTGGATTAACAGTTCAGTGATAATACCACCAGGCCATTGCCTCCCCTGACACATTCATGAAAATTTTCTTTGAGAAGGCTTTGACATTTGATGGCTCATCTTGATCAGTTTAGAACAGATTTTGGACAGGTATCTATATTGATTTATGAAAACGAATTGAACTTTTCTCAAGTGTACTACTTATTTTAAGAAACCAGTTATGCTTTCCAATATCCACAAACAGGCACCAATTAATATTAACTAATGAAACTGATCTAGTCAAAAGCATCCCTTGGTACATTTAAGATTTGACACAGACAGCTCTGTATTTCAGCTGGGCTGTTTACATACACGCAACAGCATGTTAGCTCAAAACAAACTTCATACTGATTGTTTAACATGCAGTTTATTTGGCCTGAGTCTTTTACAAACTCCAGAAAAGCCAGTTCATTTGAGAGAAATTACTGTATGCCAGAACATGACAGCAGGAGAATCTCAGCAGAACAGATTACTGGCAACTAACATCCTTGCTCATTCTGTCTTAACTTTCAATGCTTCCACTATCAGTGACAGGGAAGGAAGGAGAGGCCACTTGTACTGGCTTTATCAAAACTGGGAATTTCCAAAACTTCTCGGTAGCAGCAAAACTGCAACATTTACAACGGCACGTAAGATCCAAGTTATTAACTAGCGGAGCATCTATTTACTTCTATAAATGAGTTAAACTTTAAAGGAAGCTATTTCATTTTTGCATTTTATTCAATTTTCTTCCATTGGGAGAGGTGGATGGGCTGAACCAAAGCATACTCAATGTGAAACACCATGCCACATCAGTTTATTAACAATGTGCTTACACCAAACCATAAAAGAATTCACAAACTGGTCCATCTGGTGGTTCAGTTACTAATAGGCAATGCTCACTCAAACAGTAATAAATAACCCACAGGAACAAATCTATAGGTATAAGGTTTCAGCACATGTCATTTAAATAAACAAATACTTTGGTGCAGAAAAAAAATTCACATCCAACTAAATTTCAGTGGCATTGCAGCGTGACCAAAAATAGCTTCACCATGTCGCATCTCGCTTTACTCTGGGTGTAGGCAAGGACAGCAGTATCTGAATGTAAGAAATGTAGGTACGCTTTCCACAAGACCAAAAAAGTTACGTAGAAGTGCGCAGTCAGGATATTCCACAATGAGAGCCTGGGAAAACAACACATTAAGGAACTCTATCTTGGGTGAGAGCCTTGAAGGTGCAAGGATGTTTTGAGAAAAGAAAAGGAAACAAAATAAGTCATGAACAAGTATTTGGAAAGGTTCACTAACTTCTAATTGAAGGGCATCAATCTTTTCATCTTGACAAGTGTCACCCTCGCACTCATACTGGACAATCTTTCCATCCGTTTTACTGGCCACCAAACGATGAACATAGTTATCTACAAAAACCAAAATACAACTTCAACATAGTGAACATGTTGGCCAAATGCACTAATTGAACAAATATAAAATACATTGTCAGTTGTTACCATTTTAATGCCAGAAATTTGCATTCTTTCATGACCAGTTTTGCTGTACATCAAAAAATTAACTGAATGTGGCAACATCCTAATTTAAGAGTACCTCACATACCCAAAAATCATTTTACATTCAGAAGAAACCCATCACCGAAAATATTTAAGTTTTTTTAAAAATTGGTTTTCCAATTAAACCAGCTAATTAAACCAGCAACTTGAGAGGCAAAGATTAGCTTTCTCATACTTAAATTGATCAAGGTACTTGCCATTCCCAAAAAGAGACCAGATGAAGTCTTTTCATAAGTATTAGGGATGATACCATTGATTCCACTTAAACTTTTCTTTTGAAACCCCTTATTTCGGGATGTGCTTTACACTCCCTTGGTGAGTCAGGAGTGTTAGTGGCTTAACACACTTGGAAGGACAGTAATATTGTCAATACCTTGTCAATATTGTCAATAATACTTGAAAAATATCAGTCTTAGTCTCTGAGATAGTAGTAACTGCAGATGCTGGAGAATTTGAGATAACAAGGTGTAGAGCTGGATGAACACAGCAGGCCAAGCAGCATCAGAGGAGCAGGAAGGCTGATGTTTCGGGCCTAGACCCTTCTTCAGAAACTCTTAGTCTCTGCTCATTTTGTATTTTATTTCTCGCAATTTTTTTAAAAAAATTGATCAATTCCAAATTGAATCACTGGCCTTGTACAACAAAATAAATTTTAGCAATTGTCAATAATCAAATGACATGAAAGCAAACACAATATCAAAAGACAATATGATCACTGTATTCATGAAAAATGAAGATATTCAAAGTTTTTAACACCAATGTTGTAATGGTCAGAGAGTTAATTGTTTATTTGAAAGTTAATGTAATTTAACTCATAAACACTATTTTTTTCAAATATCTACAGCTACCTGGTTTGAATTCACAGCCAGAAACAATCAGCACTATTCATGCTAGTGTACTAAGCATTAATAATTGCATTGGTATAAGAACATGCCTTATTTAGTTAAAGAACCAAAAGTTATCTTAATTTCAAATAGGGCTATATGTAGTATGGACCACTGGTTACAAAACTGTATGCTTGTAGAAAAAGAGCCACTTCTGGCAATAGTTACCTCCTGCATAGTCCCAAACTCTGTGATTAGTGAGCTGCATGGCATACGTGTGTTGTGTTTCTTCAAAGTGTTTATATGCATGACGACTGACATATCGGCCACATCCTATGTGTCCACATATCAAACAAATCCACAGGTTCTGTGTGAGATGAAGATTAAAAAAAAGCATTTTTTTGAAGTCACACTCAGCATAAATATCCTTAGATTTATCTGATATATTTTCTGCAGTATTAGCAGTATCACAGACTTACTATCTTGGATGAATGAGAGAATCCTCATAGAGTAAATGATGGGATTTTTGAGTACACTATATGGTCACCTTTTTAAAGACAGTGTTATGTGTTGGAGAATACGAGCAATAGTCAATGTTTTCTGGTTTAACTTCCATTCTACTGCGTACAGATTAATGGGTCCGATTGAAATTTTCCTAGTTTTGTTTATTTTACCCTTTCTTTCTTGCTCACTGTGCCTCATTTGCTTTCTCGTCTTGGTCTTAATTTTATATCTGTTGGCTTCAATTTGTTACTTCATTTCTCTCATTTGTTTGTCTCTTAGGTGAGCAGAAAATTACATGTGTGCATTCCATTCTTTCTCCCTATCAGCCAAAATGCTTATCTATAAACTAATGTCAGATGAAAGTGAATTGAGAGTCCACGCTGTCTTGCAACCTATCATCTGCAGAGGGAAATTTGAATTACTAAATAAAATGTTCTCTCTATTGAATCAGTTCAAATGAAAAGTTCAACTGCCAAATAAATAGCAAACATCGCAATGAATATTAATCAAAAAGTAGAGTACTGCAGATGCTGAAAATACTCAGCAAGCTATGGCAGCATCTGTGGAGAGAAACTGAGTCAACGTTTCAGGGCTTATGTTCTAATGCAAGATCATAGGTTTGAAAAGTTAACTGTCTGTACAGATGTTGCCATATTTGTTGACTATTTCCAGCATTTTTGTTTTCATTGCAATGTACGTCACTGTTTTCTAATTTCTACAGCAATTAAATAAAAAAGATTAGAATTATTTAAAGCAGCATTTTAAGGGTAAAAATGACCAATATGGTAGCTAACAGCACGAACAAATGTAGCTTTACAAGACTGGATATCTTAATAAATTCAGAGCTCTTGACGTGGCTTCTGTAACAGTACAGTCTAAATGTATTACTACTTAAACTTGTTCTCTCTAACACGTGTCTATTGAAAACAAATTAATCTTGTTATCCCACATGCATAAGACAGAACAATCTGAACTACAAAGCTTTTTCTTAAATTGGTTAAACAAAATACTTTAATAATAAGGATAAAATGAGACTTTATGGGTTATCCCTGCTCTGAAAACGGTGACACTTGAACAGCATTGTTAAAAAAGTCAGTAATAAAAAAACAAACTAAAAATTGAAAATCAGCGAACACTATAGAACAGTTTACGTGTACAAGCAATACAGAACTAGTGCACAATAAGGTAAGAGTGAGGCATGCAGTCCTATGACCTCTGAAACTTGGGTTTGAATTCACTATAAACAGTATAAATTCTCCAGAAAGTAAACGAAAATAACCTTAGGATGAAAGTTTGCTTTCCTCATCATACTATGTAAAATGAGTCTTGCTAGTCTCAATTCATTGCTTTATGGCACATGCCCAATGCCCACCAGACGGCAGGCTATAACTTGAGCTGAAAGGAGCAATCTCATTTACGAGATCTTGGCGTGACTATTATGAAGAATTGATGCAGCGAGGGCTTTGCCGCTCAGGATGTGACCAAGATGCATTGCTGAGTCAGACTATAATTTTCTCTGCCCGAGCTATTATGTGACCCACAAAGGTTTGAATGAGACACCAATGCCAGAAGTGGATAATATATTAACGTCTGTAGTCCAAACAATATTCACCATGTCAAGCATTCCTTTTTTTCAAAAAACGAAATGCAAAGAATTAGCACCTGACATGCTTTAAACATTTTATTTATCGGTCTTGCTTACCTCCTGAACTCCACACTCAAAACATTTGTTTTCTTCAACTGGTTCTGGGGTCTGACAGTACCTGCAAACTGGGCACCTATGGAAAAGTAAAATTCCTAGGTTATTGATCAAACTAGGTAAACAAACTTTTTTTTAAAAAACATGATAGTTGCAGAAATGCTGTATTCCTTTGCATTTCTGTAACTTTCATACAGACCATGAGGCCAAACATACAGGCCAAATGCAGAAATAAATTAGTACATTGTCCTGATTTCTGAAATACTCACATAACCACAAATATCATGACCTCTATCGTAAAACCTAATCACTAGAAGTGAGTTTCAAATCAAGATACAAAGTCATGGGGTGGAATTTATTTATATTAAACAAACAAAAGGCACAGAGAGAACTATGTGACACAGTAAGCTAAAATATTAAGTTTCTAAAATTAGCCCAATTTGGAGCTACTCCAGTTGAGAGCCATCTGATTTCACCTAGTATGCTTTCTGTTAACGTGCTTTTGTGTTTTACATTTTCTAAACCTGTAGTGTCACAACAAAGCAAGCTAACAATTGCACTAATTCTGCCAACACAGAATTGCTGACTGAGTTTGAATGAACAGGCCAGGACAGACTATACTATAAAGATGCTTAAATAAGCATTGTTGTGCACTTTGTGGTATGAGATAAATTAAATGAGGGCTTGTTGAGCAAGTTCTAGAAATAAGAATTACTTTTCTATTATCAGTTTAATTCTGTACTAATATAGTACACCATCAGTAACATGTCATCCATTCTTTTATAACTGGTCTCACACATCACACAATTCATTTTCTCGTCTACTGAAAACTTCCAGACGACATATCCATGTATATCTGAAAACTCCCTACATAAAGCACATGTGACATGTCCCATGATATACTCAATGCTGAAAAAAGATGGTGTGGCTACATGCTCAAAGAGCTTTTCCTTCTACAAGCCAAACCATCAACTGTCAGGATTTAAGCACTGTTATTGCCAAGCTAGTTCACAGAAATATTTTTGTGCTATGAAAGAGTTTTGCAGTGTAGAAATCTGAAAGCATACAACATAACATCTTTAACAGAATATTTTACTCCACATTTGACATCAAATACACCATACAGCAATTATGCAGACAAGTGGAGTTGCTAAGTGTAGAACTTATTAAATGGCCATCTGCATTTTCATAGTTCAAATTCCAAGCAACTTACGTTGTATCCTCCCAGTGTTGCAAGCAATGACTATGAAAGCTATGATTACAGAGAATTGTTAGAACACCATTTACAGACTCGTCCATTCTTTCAAGGCACACAATGCATGGTGGTAACTCAGTTACACCCATTACAGGAAGACTGGCTCCCTAAAAGAGAGAAAATATAAAATCAACACAAAAAAAAAACAAAGTCAGGCTTTTACAGTCACAACAGGAGATACAGAATTGGTTTGAAATTGCTACAGCCCTATTAAGAACATAATGAGAAGTCAGTTAAGTAGGTATGTATGATTGAAGCTTAGAAAAAGCTATTACTCTTCCTCCAACTCCATTATTAAGACTTTCAAACATCAAGCTTGTCCTTCTATCAAGGTAGGGAAGATGAAGATAGTCAAAGACAGACATTTCCAAAGTTGCTTTGGTTGCTTCATTAGGGAGTTCTCAGGGAAGTTTTATGTTCTTTCTTTAATCTTCTTTCATTAAAGTGAGAAAGAATGAAAGGTCAGTTACCTGTTTATAAGCAAAACATATCTAAGATCACAAGCCAGGCAAACTAAATGACAGAACAAACTGTGTTAGGAATTCTGATTAGGGATCCGCTGCCACCACTTTGTCACAATATTTGAATATATTAAAATGCAGACTATTAATAAATATGGCACAACACCTACATCCTCAGATTTGATGACCTCAGCCCTTTCCACATATACCAGCTGGCAAACGTCATCCTCAATTGAATTAAATTGCCGACCATTACAGGCAGTATAAAAGCTGTCTGCTTCCGCCTGAAAAATGGACAAAGTGAGTTAAAAAGGCTGCACTCGCAAAAGTAACATTATATTTAATACTTTTACAAAACTAAATTGACAAATCTGATCAGAGTGAAACAAATAGTACTACTTACCTGTGAACAGAATTTGACAAGAACCATATATTGGTTTGGGGTTGAATCCCTTATTATTTTCATGTGCTCAATTGAATCATCAAATGGTGCAACAAATCTCATAAGATCGTGGCTAGTCATGGTGGCAGGGACAGTAAGGATACACAACATGGCACTTCGTCTCACGTCTTCTTTTAAGGATGTCATCTTGCTAAGAAGAAAAACAATACCCCTTAATTCTCCTAGAAAGCGCATGACCATAGTCATGAATAGTAAAACAAAATTTGCATTTGGTACTACTGGCAACGAAAGGTTTGGCATGTTTTTACAATGAGTACAGCAAAATAATTGCTGCTTTTGGTGCAAACCAGAAGTTCAAACATATCTATTACGTGGATGATATGAGCAAATTCTTGGATTGTATCCACAGGTATATTCATTTTAAGTCAAAACACTGCAAATATGCTAGCCTCCCTCAAAATGCAACGCAAAACTGTTGAGGTATATTTCCTCCTGTGCAAAACTGTGCCACTTAATATCTTCATTCTCAAATTGTGGAAAAACCCAGCACACCAGAAGTACCAATTGAATGTTCAATCCTACCCTCCACAGATTTCTAGCATCACAGATACCAGTCTTCAATCCATTAAATTCAGTCAAATTATAGACAAAAAACACTATTGAGCAACTGAATGAGCAATGTTTATGGGCACATTCTCCACTGTCTCTTGTATTTGACAGGTTCAAGACAGAATGCTACAGATTCTCCACCACCGAATAAAGAAAATTCTCTTCATCTACGTCCAAACGGCCTACCAAATATCCCGAGATGGTGACCTCTTATCTGACCATGTGTGGCACCAAAAAGTCCTGGTCAAACTGAAGTCATGGAATTCAAGGAAGAAACTCCATTGTTTGGATATGCAAAAAAAAGATGGTTGAGTTGACATGTAGTTCAAATGTTACTTGGCGCTTATGCCAGGCAATAATCATCTGTACCAAGATGATCTGAAGACTTCCCTTTTAAACTAAATGGCATTTACTATCATAAAAGTCCCCCACCAACATTCTTTATATTGGTCTAGACACACAACTGGATTTGCCAAATAAATACAGGGACAAAAGAGAAAATCAGAGATTGAGTATTTTGTGGCAAGTAACTAACCTCCTCATTCCTCCAGAATCTACAGGGCAAAAGAGTGAGATGAAATATTTTACTCTACCTGGACAAATGCAATTCCAACAACCGTCAAGAAGCTCAACATTGACAAGGACAAAGCACTTAATTTGCACCCCACCTCAACATTAACTCACTCCACTGTCAGTATAGAGTTACTGCATTGTGAACACACACAACGTAACAACTGATCAAGGTTTCTTCAAAAGCATCTTCTGAACCCACAAGCTATACCAAATAGAAAAACAAAGCAGTAAGCTCATGGAAAGACAAACACCTGCAAGCTCCCCAAGAAGTCATGCATTTTCCTGACTTGGAAACTGATGAGACACTTTATAACCACTGGGTCAAAATCCTAGAATTTCTTACCATAGCATAGGAAGTACCTTCAGCATAGGAAATCAGTGCTCACCAACGCCAAGGCAATTAGGAATTGGCAATGAAGTCCAAATCCAGCAAATAAACAACAAGAAAAGATTCTGGGAGCTGAGCACTATCCTGCACCCCCACAATACATTTATTTTTCACTAGCCTGCCCCCATCCAGTGCTGTTGGCAGTTACTGTTACTAGAGGCAGTTACCAGTCCTTCGTCCTACTTAATAACTTTTGAAAATGCTCTTTGTAAGTAGGTCAATTACATGAAATAGCAAAAACACAGAGGAAAAATATACCAAATTCTTTCAATGAGGCAACAGAAATCCAAGAACCAAAGAAATGGAAGTAAGAACTAAGACAGCTTGTGCTCATGTTTTATGGCAGAACATTCAGTCACAAAGAATTGAACGGGAATGGCTCTTTGGTTTAATACAAATTGAATAATGCAACTACCGTTTAGTCAAATATGCAACTTGCAACTCAACTGTACTTCACCGATTAAAACAAAACAAACATTCCCACAGAATTACTACTGCTAACATGTTGGGATTCTATAATTAAATGAAAAACATGCAGAATCTTGAACAAAAATTATAAATGAGGTACAATATTCCCAGACAATCCTCATTATTTTCCTGAATAACGCAAGGGTGGTCATAGTGACCAATGCCTCTGGATGGGCTTCAACAGTCAGCAAGTATTCATTTTATTTTTAAATTATTTTTGTTCCAATCTTCATTCTCTTGTTTAATAGCCTTTTGGAACACTTGGAAATGCTACAAACACTAAAGAAGAGTTATAAAGGGAAATGATGAGCAGAGATCATATGCTCACTAGTTATTCTGACATTTCTATTCAAAATTATCAATCATCTTCATCTTTTTGTACCTGCAGACAGACCCTGTGTATTATTAGCATTCCTAATTTACTCCAAATTTCCAGCAAGCAGGCTTTACATTTTAATCTGTACTATTGCATTTATTTCTTTTACTATCATTATACTAGTGGACATTTTTTGCCAATTTATCTCTTCCTCACCAAAAACAAAAAGGTGAAAGAATTTGTTCTGAGTTTCATAAAAAAAGCTCCAGATATAAGAGCATCTCTGAATAGGTTAATTAGTAACTACCCATTAAGCAGGTCCAGAAGTGCAATGGCAGTGTCCCTACCCTTGCATCAGGAGGCCTGGGTTCAAGTTCCACCTGATCCAACATCACTGAACAGGTTGATACAAAATATAGAAAAAAAAAAGCAGAGCTAGCAGTCTTCCTGTTCTCCCTACCTCTCTATCACCTTTGATGGTTTGCATTGCTCTTAATAAGTTTTGCAATTTAAATATCTAATATTTACAGGTGGTGGTTAGTTGTTAAAAACAACAGAACTCACGGTGAGCTGATGGGGAAAAAAATAGAAAAAGAAAAGCCCTCTGAGGCAGAAAATTCCAAAGATTGACTACCCCGAGAGTTAAAAGAAACTCTCACCTTTTTTTTAAAACCCCAGTTCCAGATTCCTAACCAGGAGAAACATCTTACCTTCATCTGCCCTATCTATCCTAATAATTATTTTGTAGGTTTCAATGAGATCACCCCCCATTTTTCAAAACTCTTGAGAATACAGACCCAACTTGCCCAATTTCTCTAAGGACAGACCTGCCATCCTAGAACAAGCCTGGCAAACCTACATTACACTCCCTCTATTCCTGAGATAGAGAGATCAAAACTGCCTACTATTTCTCTTGTCCATCAAGTTCCTAAAGTCAATGTCACATCTTTTTTCACTCTTCAGTTTATCAGTCACTCTTCTCCCATTTTCTCCAGTTTTGTGTGACCACAAAGCCCTCAATTCATGCCAAAGTTCCTCCTCTCATCCTACCCAGCAGATCATGCTGGCCCTCTTATCCTTTTCCTCACATTAGTCACAATGGTACTCATCCTCCTCCTCTTATTCCTTCATTGCCTGCTTAGTTCAGGCTGCCATTTTTAACAAACCAAATCACCCACTACAGCCCCATACAATTATGTCACTTTACAACCACAACACATTCACTGATCTTTGGGAATCTGATGTTCAGCAGATTTATCACTGAAAACTCAAGTAGGCTAAAGGTCACAGAAATTCTAATCTGCAAATAGGAATGCTATGCATTTAGCTCAAATATTGCTAATTACAACAGATTACTCACTCCTCTCATTAGATGCTTCCTGAAATGTGGACTGACTAATAGCAAATGATCTAAACTGGGTGCATTAGCTGTAACATATCATCCTACCCACACTGCATGCTTTTATTCCAGGTAAGGTAACACATTTCATTCCAGATCAAGAACAGTTTTGAATGATTGTATACCTCAACAAACTCAAACACAGAATAGGAAACAATCCAAGCTGATTACCAGCTAACATAAATGACTGAACATAGTTCCAAACTACCTTCTTTACAAAACAATTTTTAATCAACGTAGTGTCAACAGCAGCACTTGATACTAATGTCAAATGGCAACATGAAACACACCAGCAAAAGCTGTCTTATTAATGGAACTTCAAAGTGAAATGTAGGCGTGTAAAACTTACACTTGCTTGGCAGCAAAATAGCTTCTTTTTTATGTAAAACTACAGATACAATTCACTATGCACATTATTCTCAAATCACAGTAATTAATGAAGGTGCCAGATGCCAGGGATGAATGGGATTAATGCAAACCGTTACAGCACATTAGAAGGTTGTGCTGTTAAAATTAGATGCAATAGAATGGGAGGAGGCTTCTGTGGAGGATTATCAGCAGCATAACCAGTTTGGCTGCATTGGCTATTTCAATTATATAATTTCAATGCAATATTGATACAAGTGAAAGTTTCATACTTGCAAAAGGTTACAAAGAATCCAGAGTTTCTCTAAATCAGTCATAAAACCCCATATCACCTTTCTGTCTTCAGGTAATGACTGTTGGACATTTTGCTGTCTAATTATGCCCACCTAATTACTACAGTAGCAAAATGGAATCAAAGTCTCAATAATTTACAGCACTAATGGGATTTCTTAATATTGCATGCTCATTGAATAATCCGATAATTTGGTGTAAAACTGCAGGAAAGCACAAGTCACAGCATCAGTCAGAAGAAAGCTCTATTGCCTTACTTCTTCCTTTCATCAACTGCACATTTTCTGGATTTTTGTTTTATAGCATTTCTACAAGTTTAACTAGCTAAAGTTTGCAAAAGCTCAATAAGTAAAGTCAATACTCAGCTGCAAAAGACCAGAAAATCCTACATTTGTACCACTCTGTATTGATTAATTAATCCCCACTGTGACAGCAATTGAGAGGTTACAATAAACCTCAGCAACACTGGCTTGGGGAGAGTAAATCACCATCCAGTTACATCTGCTGGAAGCAGGAAAGCAAAGATATAACGTGGGAGCAAAGCTGTCAAAGCACAATCTATAGTTCATTGAAGTAATGTACTGCTGAACTTATCAGCCATCAGCAACTTCTAAAACTAGACTGAATATGTTGGAGGAGTGGGTGGATAGGTGGCAGATGAGATTCAATGCAAGAAGCACAGGGTGATGCACTTTGATAGGAAGAATATTGAAAGACAACACAAAACACAGGGTAAAACAGAAGTTGCTGGAAAATCTCAGCTGGAGAGAGCAGGTAAAGCATACAGTACCCTTGGCTTTATGAATGGAGGCGTAGAGCACAAGAGCAAAGAGGTGATGGTGAACTTGTATAAGACAAGTCAGACCTCAGGTGGAGTACTATGTACGGTTACAGGTACCAAGTTATACAAAAAATGTAAATACATTGGAGACAGTGCAGAAGCTATTCACATGAATGGTTCCAGAAATGAAAAACTTCAGTTCTGAGGATACAGTGAAGAATTTGGGATTGTTCTTCTTGGAGAGAAGGCAGCTCAGAGGAGATTTGATTAAGATTTTCAAAATCATGAGCAGGCTAGACAGAGTAGATAGGGAGAAGCTGTTCCTGCTTGTAAAAGGAAGTAAAGACATAGGACACAGATTTAAAGTGATGTGCAAAAAAACCTTTTCATGGGTACTTATGGTATTGAATGCACTGCCGGGAAATGATGTGGAGACAGGTTCAACTAAGAAATTCCAGAGGGCACTGGATGATTATTTGGATAGAATGTCCAAAGGTAGGGGGGGAGAAAGCAGGAGATTGACACCAGCTAATGATGCTGGTTTGAACAGCTAGTGTAGGCACAATGGGCCAAATGGCTCCTTCTATGTTGTAACGATTCAGTGATTCTACAAGGCATACCTGGGTTGAAAATGTCAGGGGCATCACAGAAACATTTACGATCATAGTGGTAATTACGTTCCTGACATTACTGCATTAATCACTTGCAACACATATTCCAATCAAAACTCAAGTAAATGTTCAGGTTATATTACAGAACATTAAACAAGTACAAAATTCAAAGTTGATGTGGAACATTAAAGTAGTCATCAAAATATGTAAACAGAATATATTTTAATGTTTTGGGCCTCATATACAATATTATTTACCTGGAAGTGGAAGGCTGTGGATATTTTTCAAAAACTTATCAAATATCCAAAACTTAATGGAGACAGACAATGGCAGAACATACTGAACAAACAAGAACTCACCCGTGATTGCTGAGTTTTGCTGTACATTTATTTCTTGGCACTGCTGGAAGTTGGACAAGAACCACGTTATTGAATCAGGTGCATGTTGTTACAATCATGGGAAGTAAAAAGTGCTATGGCACTTGGTCAATGATAATCCTCAGGATGCTGTTGGTGATAGTTTCAGTAATGGTAACGTTGAACATCAAGGGATGATGGTTAGATTCTTTTTTGTTGGAGACAGTCATTGCCTGGTACTTGTGTAGTGTGAATGCTGATTGTCAGTGCCCTCTTAGTTGAAACTACATTAATGGAGGACTGCCTGCACTACTAACAACACACGAGGTGAATAACAGGACAATCTCAGAATGAATTGGTGATGAAAATAATACTGTTGAGGGAAATGAGCGTGACAATATTCAACTTTCATAACAAATAAATAGCATGGAGAAATATAGGACAATGCAAAACAATTAGTAAAGTTGAAGGGGTAAACAACATCCCTACTAAAGCCATCAGTATGAATTGAGCAAATTTACTCCAACAGCAAAGTAGCTGGCATTACCAAATCACAAATGCTACTGTTATATTGTTTGTGTGGTGAAGAGTCTGAAGTATGGTAATGACCTTACAAAAACAACTCTCCATTCCCAAACAAATCCAATATTTGAAGGCAAGACAGTCACCCAAGAAGAACAAAAATCTGATTGTGTTTCATTTACTGTGGGGACAAATGATTAGGCCACATGCTGCATTGATTGCAGATATGTTGGTTTTTCATGTTTGCAAAAACACCCGGGTATACATATGGTTTTGGCAATGCTGGAAGACAACAAATTTGTAGTCTACAAATCCTGTAGCAAGCTTGAAAGATTAAATTGATGTTTCAAACACAAAGTTGCAATATGTTTAAAAACAATTTCTCACTCAGTTTTGTAGAGATGCATGATTCCATGTACTACTTCAACTGATGAATTCCCACTAAAGAAAGAAATTTGGTCAGGCAGCTGTTTGGATGGCGAGTCTGGTGCATTACCACTCTGATCTTTGCACACTTTATTGTTTTCATTTGGATCAGCAGTACTTGCTTTTTCCAGAGGGTTGGTGCCACAACTGGTCTTTTGCTCTGATTTCAGTACACAATCCACAGTATCTTTGTCTGTAAAAAGATGTATTTCATATCAGCGTGGTCAAAGAAAAATCTTCAGTTCACAGAAGACATTAGCAATTAACAAGATAATCTCTCGATGATGTAATGAACATCACTTCCCGATACTTAATGGACAGTGACGAGTCACTCAGCAGCCGTGTCAAGGCCAGTTGGGCTTATGAATTATTTAAATTCTGGGTGATATTTTCAGCTTTGAAAGGCAGCAGATTTTGTTGCATCTGCAATTTTGGAGATTTTGTCTTCCATTCATATCATCTTATTCACATGTACTACTGATTAACTGATTAATTACTGGAATGTAGCACTACCTTGCAGTGTCCACAGCACTCAAATTCAGACTTTCCATCCGAATCAAAATGTATATCTCTCAGCATTGCTGTCCTGTGAACTTAACCCTCTGAAATTAGAGTTAGTTTAATAGAAGGATTTTTAAACATAATTACACCCAGGTCATCTCATGATTACATAATAAGAAATCCCTCAAAATGTCAAACAATTCACTGGGAGGTTTAGATGATAAGTTGATACAGAAATGCAAGACAATCTTTCAATACTTTTGAAAGATGGGAAAGGATTGGCAAGAGAAAATAAATTCTTTAAATTGCAAGTGTTTAAAATAAAGAGAGAGTCAGTCATTGGATTGCAATTCAAAATAGCACAACTGAATTGTCCTGGGTTATTTCACCAGCATAAAGGAAGATGGCTGTGACCATTGGAGGTCAGTGATTTCAGCTCAAGAACATCAATATAGGAGTTCTTCATATTGCGCTCTTGGCTCATCATTCCTGCCATGACAAGGTCAGAAGTGGGGATGTTCAGTGATGATTTCACAATGTTTAGTGCCATTTGGGACTTCTCTGGTACTGAAGCAGCCAATGTCCAAATGCATCAAAAGAATGGACAATATCTAGGCTTGCGTTGACAAGTGGCAAGGAACTCACATCTCTTAAATGCCAATGATTGAGTTGTGACATTTTGAATTACAATCCAATGACTTGATTCACTTTTTATTTTCAGTACCTGCAATTTAAGGAATTTGTTTTCATTTGTCAATCCTTTCCCACACCTGTTCCAAACCTATTGAAAGATTGTCTTGCATTTCTATATCAACTTATCATCCAACAAAAGCAAATCTAGACATCACCTCTTGACGTTGAGTATTACCATTGCCGAATGTACCACATCAACACCCTTGAGTGTTACCACTGACCAGAAACTGGACTGGGCTAGCCATATAAATTCCATAGCTACAAGAAGCTAGGAATTTTGCAGCAAGAAACTCACTCCACAAGGTCTGTCCACCATCGACAAGGCACAAGTCAGACATGAGATAGAATACTCCCTATTTCTAGCTCCACAACACCATCAAGAAGACTGACACCATCCAGAACTAAGCAACCCACAATGATTGATGCCACATGCATAAACATTCACTTCCTCCAACACTGAAGCACTGTGGCAGTAGTATAGACCACCTAAAAGATGCACTGCAGAAATTAGCAAGACTCCTCATATAGCATCTTCCAAACTCACAACCACTACCATCTTGAAGGACGAGGTCAGTAGATGCATGCAAACACCACCATCTGCAAGTTTCCATCCAAGCTACTCACCATCCTGACTTGAAAATAACTTGTCCCTTAACTGTCACTGGGTCAAAATCCTGCAACTCCCTCTCTAACAGCAATCACCTTCCAAAGCCCACATTAATTTTAAAATCTTCAGGTATTTTGGAGTAGTAGGCTAAAATTCTACAGAATTAAATCAATATTCAGCAGCATTGAATTTTATTTTAAATTTCTCCCTCCCAAAGGTACTGACTCATCACTATTTTTCACTTTCCTACTGCAGCAGGAGCAAAACCAATTAAGCATTATACATCCATTGTAGCCATGACTATCTTAGCAAGTTTCAGCACAGATGAGGCATTTATAAAATCAAGAGCTTCTAGTTCTGACACAAATTAGATATGACAGCATGAGCTGCTGCGAGTAACATGTAGACTAAACATTAGTTCTAAACCTAAACCATTTACAAAAAAAAAAATCAATTTCTGCAACATTATATTGTTCTTTTGTTTCCAGAAACTTGTAACCAATAAACCTGCCCTGAGATCGATTCAATTCCTCATCCACTACAGGCAGGAACAATAACAGCCTCTTCCCTTTTATGGAAGTTCTGATGATAGAAATCAAACTTGCTTTCCTACACTTCTGTGGAACTATGCACGGTATACTAACCCTGCACCTATTACTTTTACTCTTCATAATACAATACCACAAAACTGTTTAAATTCTTATCAAAGTTAAAACATTTTGCTCTATGCTAGAAAACTGCTTAGCATGCAGTTATTTGCTTGGCATTGTATTCAGAGTTTCACATTACTGTACCTTTGCTGGAGGTTATAGTTTCAATTACCATGTCTCTCATCTCTCTACGACCAATGTGTTGATGCAAGATAGTGGATTTTTCTCCAGTTGTTTTACCCTCCAGCAAGAGCTTTGCTGAACTGAGCGATTTCTTCTCTTTACTTTCATCGTCTGCCATAGTTACAGCTACACAGACAAGAAACAAAAACGGAGAATTTTTTTTATGGCTGTATATTTGTTAATCAGTATTAAAACAACATATACAACACTTGAAACAAAACATAAAGCAAAGCAAGTATTATTCTGAAATATTGTGAATTTCCTTAAAATCTCGTTTGAACATGGCATCCCACTCCATTCCAAAACGTCTATGTAAAAGTTTGAAATACTTTAATTAGATGAAATGCATCAAGCCAAACAATCACATGATCTAGAACTCCAACAGCTGAAAAGCTGATCTGCCAAGATCAAATTATCTCCTAATGTGTAGTTACCCTATTATGCAAATCCATCTCCTAGCATCACTTTTAAAATTACTATAAACCATGAAACATTTTGTTACCTTGTTCCTTATACACTATTCTCTATTTTTCAGCGCTTGTGCTATTCCACTCAACTAAAATTTTGCAAGCATGTTGATACCTTGAATATTTAGTATATTTTGAATAAATGATATGCCAGAGGAAATGTACTTAAGCAATATGCTTTTATCTTACTCATTATATGGTCCTTTAAATTACATGTAATTAGCTCCAGTTTAACCATTATCAGTGTCACACAAATCAAAGCATGCTCTCCACACACAACTCACATTTGAAAAGACAAAACTTTAGGTGAACAGCTGGATTTTTTTTGTTATCCAATTGTGTGCAGTATGAAAATTTCACATACTTATTATGCTTATTTGAGATAACTGTTCATAATACAATCTTGCTGGCCATACATTTCCTAGTCATTCATCATAAATTATGAATAATACATGCATTGTCAACATTGTACATCAACAAAAAAAATTAAATTGAATTTTCAGCATTCACAGACAGTAATTCCAGCACACAAAAGCACTTAACACAGATTTTGATTGCAGCAGAAGAGAGAAACCATACTGCCAAATCTTTTTATCATGCACTCATTGGGACAAAGACAAGAATGCCAAATTTCAAATGATCGCAACAATTTCTACTGTGGAAGAGGAAGCTGAAAAGCTTCATCATCTCAACAATATAACATAATCTCTTCAATTTTACATTATCTTTTGAAGGAAAGCAAACCAGGAAATGAGAAATTTATCTTGGAGCTCAGATTACTTTATTTGAGAGTTTAGCTCTCATTTTTAAGATTTTCCTTGCTCTTATTGGTACAAGCTGAGCATAAGGTGACCTATTTGTAAGATTTCATCCATGCAACTTTGGCACCAACTGCAGCACAAGCACTGTCTGCAGTAGATGACCTGGCATCTGTTCAGCAGTTCCACAAAAAGTGGCATTACTGGAATATGGAAAAAGGTCAGAAAATACATCTGCTGGTAGTCCATTATGTCACCTTCAATAGAGCCTATCAAAAGCACAACGTACCAACCAGTAAAAATTGATGGAAATTACATCCCATAAATTGTTCAATGCTAGTTACAGTACTTTGCTCAACAGAATTTCTGGATTAAATTACTGCTTGCATTTGATCGTTGTAAATACTTCTTTAAAATCAAGCCCCCACCAGTGCAAAACTCCATATCAGGAATTTACCACAGAAATTTGCCGTCATGAAACTGACAAATTGGATGCAGAAGAGAAACAAGAGACTATCAATATTGCCAGTAAGCTTGTTAGTTACCAGAGGCTTGCATGCTTGGCTCTAGCTTTTAAATTAACAAAGAATAAACTACGTCCCTCACACCTCTTTTGATGATGAGGGTTTAACAGCTGCCATGTTCCAGATAACACAACCAATCCTTCTGCTGTCATCTGGCTGGTTGTGGATGGCTAGCTCCTACTGCAGCTTCCTCCATCTGTCTCCTCAGATTCTGTATGTTTCAAAACCTTAGGTTCAAAATTTAAAATTCACTCAATTTCTGCTCATTTTCAAGCAAAAGGTTGAATTGCTGTTGCATTAACGTAGACAAATATGTTTTGGTCTCTTCATAACATTCAGCACAGACTTGAGATATATTTAAAATTTAGTAGAAACTACACTTCAGGTCCTGCGGAACTTTAAAGACCCTAACTAATGATTTTATTAAAGGGTGTTAAAGTTCTGACATATAATCCAAATAGATGACAAAGTTATATTACCTGAATACACTGATTCTTGACTGAACAATTTAATTCCTCTCTCCCACAACCCCACCCCCAGAAAAAAAACCTTGGTTCCCATTAACCTAACTGAGGATCTACATTAAATATTTCAATTGAGGATCTACGTCAGGGCAGTTTATTTTCCGCTTTTTTAGAAAGGGTCGAGATTACAAAACTGAAGAGACTTTTCTCCAACAGAAGCGCCGCTTCAATAGATGAACAGAGAGAGACGTCCATTAAGGCAGCAGCTTCAACCCCCACCAGTCATTAGACCAGGGTATTTCTCACCATCTATGTACTGGAGCAGGTACAGGGTGGTTGGGGACACCCTCCCCTCAGATCCCTCGTATCCAGCCTGAGCACTCACCGCAATACTCGAAACCCTCCGGATGGTGCGAGTGGTTCGCCAGCTCCAGACGTACGGCCACAAGTGAAACGCTCATATGTTAAACCCCACAGATCTGCTCACCCGAGTTAAAAATAAACTTTAAACAAAACAAAAACTCAAGATAAAAATACATTGAGAAACTAGCGGGACACCCAGAACGGGAGAATTTTCTCCCCCTCTTTGTGGGGGGTGGAGAAAGTAAAATAATCCCCGAACCTCCCTCAACAAAACAGACCTGGCCACCCAGACCCACTTCCGTCAAACTGACCCCTCACCTCTGTCCCTTGACCTGCTCCTTCCCTGACGCAGTTCCGTTCCTCTGCAGTAGAGTACAATCCACTCTCTGGTCTGCGGAGCATTTCGGGGGAGGGGGAAAATTTCCACATTCTTACTAGCTCATGAACAAAAATCAAAATCTGTGCTCGGCCGGGGACGCGGTTTAACATGGGATTGACACCGAAGTGACCAGTGATGTCAACATAATTGAATGGTGTTTGTTTGTCGGCATGGACATGGTGGGCCGAAGAGCCTAATTCTATGCTATATGAATCCATGACTCGGAGCCTGTGGTGCAGTTTCTCATTAGACAATCAGCTAAAGTGTGGGACTTTTCCAAAACCAAATTACTGCAGCTTTCCACCATCTGCAATTTTTGCTTTTGGTTTACTGTCAGTGTATGAATATTGGTATTGTTGTATTTAATTTACTGCCCCTTTTCCAATGCCGACTTTGAACTTCTGTTCTCATGAGATTTGTCTCAATTTCCTTGTTCAATTTCATCACTGAAAACCTGTCACATCTCTAACCTTTCCAGTGCTGTTAAGAAGTTACGGACCTAAAACTTCAGTGTTTCTCCACATTTGCTACCAGTCCTGCTGATTCCTTTCTGATTTTATTCTGCATCTTTCGCTGTAGTTATCCCATTGGCACGTAACGGAATACACAATGCTAAACCCACTTCCTCCACTTTGATAGATAGTCCTTAAATCACATTTTATTTCCTTATATCATTTGTATACCTAACTGCTAGTTTTCTCATTAACTTTTTTTTGCAGTACAAGTTGGCACAAGTTCCACTGGAGTCAGCCCAATTTACCTTTTTTACTTAAGGAAAATGAGTTTGGAGGTCTGAGAAAGGCACTCAGCTCTTCAGGTAGGACGTGGTGAGGTCAGCAGTATACTGCCAGTGCCACGTTAATAATTGGATACATATACTGTTGAGGTGGCCTTAAGTGAAGCATCATAGCCACAGTTTAAGTCCTTTCTGACTGCTTAATATCCAAAGGATAATGCTCATTCATTCTTCATTACTGCTGTTCTATAGATCCAGCACAGGGACAAGTGGGCAGAGGAGGACGATACTGATGACTGGTAGTGTTCAGAGATAAGATTAGTCTAATGATAATGGTTCCAAAGATGACTCATTGGACTCAAAATGTTAGTTCGGTCTTTTTTTTCTCTAGATGTTGCCAGCTCTGCTGAGTATCTCTGGCACTTTGTTTTTATTCTATGAATGATGATGTAGGCTCAGCTACTCAGATTTCAAGAACTTCTTGGATGCCCAGTTCCTTAAATCCACAACCTTTTGACTGAGAGAAGCATGTAAATTAACTAAGGCTGATACCTATTGAAATTAATAAATAGCTATGCATTAAGAAAGAGTGAAACTGTTAAAGAAATAGGTTGATTGGTTGTGTGCCTTTTGGAATTTGCTTTAACAAAATGGCTGACACAACTCTTATAACTGACGTTAGAGTTATATAAGAAAGGGTGCACTTACAGTGTTGATATTTTTACCTCCGATGATTTGGCATATTTCTGAAGGGGTTAAGAGAAGTGACATGTTTGCATGTAGCAGGATGTAGAGTGGATAGAGGGAAAGCCCCTTTATTGCTAACTGACACAAGGTGGTGGAACTGGAGTGGCAAGAATTGACTGTCTTCCACAGAAAACTTCAGAGATAAAATTCTGTGATACTTTTTGCAGCAAATGCTGCTTGAGCTTCTGCTTGGGACCCTTTTTGCTCCGTAATTTGCTACTGACTCTTTTCCATGATAAGAACACCTGTCCGTTTTATTTGTAGTCCATCACCAACATTATGCAATGCTGCACATTACACATTATTGTAATATCATGGCTTTGCCAGAAGAGGTCAATGTGGGACTATTGTTGACCATTTCAACAGTTATTAAAATCTTGGTTAGTAATGAAAATGTTGCTTGTTTCTCATGAGATACGTTTGATCAATTATAGGACAATTTCCATTAATTCTTACCTTTAACCAAACCTGACTCCCCACTTGGGTTGATTTTTTGTTTTCTATTTGTTCATCGAGTCTTCCTTTCCTTGTTTGACCAGGCTGGTAAATCTGTTGTGCAGGAACTCCATGTTTGAAGTGATGATGTCACATGGTTAAATATTACATTTACATAGTGATGTCATAATATGGCAAAATTATTACATTTTGATTGGCTAAAGTTTTACCCTTCATGAAAATGTGCCAAAATGTACCAGTGATTTTGAATGGATTACAGGCTGTTTGTTGTGATTAATTGACTTAAATACGACAAAACGTATCTGGCATTTAGTCAGGGAAAGATCATGTTAAATTGAGTTGATTTTTATGGGGGCTGTTCTCTAAAAATGTAGTAAGCCCACTGAAAAAAAAGTAAAGTAACAGTTCCACAATTAATTTATTCTCGACATTTTGCTAACTTGAATCCTATTTTCTCAAATACTTTCCACCTTTACTACATAAACCTACAAAAAGTGGAAAGTAAAATGTATCAAAATTCCCTATCCAGGAGCAGTAAAACTTTCTAAACAATGTCTATTTCTCGCTAATTGGGCAATGTTTTGGGTTGGTTAAAAAATAGCCTGTGACCATTTAACGAAAAGCTCCTGTGAAATCCCACTGTCTCTCTGAAGTGATCAAGAAAGACTCTGAAAAAACTTTACTCATCATTTAAGTTAATGAAAATTTACCACTTATAACTGCAATGTCCTCTTCTGAAATTTCCCTTTCAAAAATAATCACTATATGGTTTATCTGTCAGCAACATGTCCTATAAGGTAATAGCTCTGCAAAGAGAAAAGCTTCTAAACTTAACTCCTTTTATGTGCATGTTCTCCATTGGATAAAGATGTTGAATAACATAACTATGATGGTACAGGCTTGAGGGGCTTAATAGCCAACTCATGTTTTGAGACTGAATGCAGCCAAGTAATTCAGAATAAGGCATTGCATGTTTGTGTGACGCAGTAGACCTGGGATTTTTTAAAAAACTGCTTACTTAGGTATAGGTCCCTGTTCTATGCCAGTTCAACTATAAATATTGGCAGGTGATTTCAGAATAGGAGACCCAGCAATCTAATTGGATTCTGACTTCACCAAACTTCCAAACATCTACTTTCCAGGAAATGTTAATGGTTAGTGCTGAAAAATGCTAGCTGATTTTGCCTTGTCTATTATCGATTGTAATCACCGCAATGTGGGAAATTGAACCGGAGATCTTGTGACTGGTAATAACAGAGAATCCTGTAATCTGCAACCAATTCAAGTGACTGGTGCACCTTAACTGCGTTCTTTCTTTATTTTAAAATCCTTAATTGTATCCTCTGTAAACCTGTATTTCTCAGAACATAAATAACCCTAATACTTCAAGCTTATCTTAGTAATCCTGCCTTGTCCCTTCTCCACAAACCGAAGTACTTTCCCCAAGTACAGTGCTTTTTGTTCTGTAGTCATTCGTGAAGTTGTTGACTTGCTCGCCGAGCTGGCTTGTTACTGTTCATGAACAAAACAAATTTTTTATGAACAAAAACAAGCCAGCTCGGCCAGCAAGTCAACAACCACAACCTGAGCTACAGACCTTTGCCAAAACTTTAAATAGTAATTACACTTGACAATGTATCCTAAAGCCCCAGCCCTCTCTACCAACTGAAACTGTATAATTACCTTTAACAGTTTGTCCCGTTTTCATTCCAGTTCTTTATTGATCTGTAGTCTTTAATGTAACATCAGCTCCCCCCACCCCAACCCCAAACATGCACATATTTGAAGGATGGATGTCTGCATATCTGGGCCTAGTAAAACTTAAATAATTTTGATTATTTTATATGGTTTTGATCACCATATATTTACCATAAATTACTTATGCTATGAACATTTTAATGTCTGTAAATCATTTGTTATGCCTTCATTCTCATCATTCATTACAATGTTGAACGGAGCCAATTTGTATTTACAGAACGATGACAGGAACATATAAAAAAAGCATCAGCACATCAATTTTCCAACAATCTATGAAACAGTCTAGAGACTTCCCTGACAACAACAATATGTCATACCAGTCAAAAGGTTTCGGGTTCAGTTCTCACATTCTGCTAATTATAATTGATTATAGACAAGGCAAAATCAGCTAGTACCTGCATTTTTCAGCACTAACCAGTAACAGTTCCTGGAAAGCAGAGCTGTTTGGAAGTTTGGTGAATTCAGAATCCAATTAGGTTAGTGGGTCTCCTATTCTGAAATCACCTGCCAATGTTTATACTTGAATTGCCACAGAACACTGACTCACACCCATGGACCTATACCCAAGTAAGCAGTTTTTAAAAAATCCCAGGCCTACTGGGTCATACAAACAAGCCCTGCCTTATTCTGATTACTTCGCTACACAGTCTCAGAACGTAAGTCGGCTATTAAGCCCCTCAAGCCTGTTCCACCATTAAGGTATAGTTACGTTATTCAACATCCTTATCCAATAAAAGGCTACTTATATGTGCTTTCTAATTCTGCACAAGAATTATCTAATTTTAAATTTAAACCATCATCCCCCATAAATACTTTAGCTGTAACTACTTTATCATATTTCTTTAACATTTCAACAACCTCTTGTTCAATCATCTATGATTCTCCTGTTTGGAGTAGAAAAGTGGGGTATGGATGGTCAGATACAAAAGAAGGAAATCAGAGAGGGCTTCAGATCCTAATTGTTTTCCAGTGGCCCTTTCTGCATAATTAATTTCAAATGAGGATAAGAATTATGAGAATGAAGGCATGACAAATGATTTGCAGACATTAAAATGGTCATGGCATAAGTAATTTATGGCAAATATATGGTGATCAAAACTAAATTATTTAAGTTTTACTAGGCCCAGATATGCAGACATCCACCCTTCAATGCTCAACATTGCGTTCCTATGGAATGTCATATTAAATAGGATATGGTATGATTGCTGGGTCTAGAGACAGTATCTACTGGAGAAATA